GGGATGGTATGCGAATACCAGAAGCCTTCCAGGCTGAAGTCAGGGTCAAGATCCGGGGGATGTGTCCAGTCGGCGAAGTTCACGATGGCGTCGCTGTTTGCGGTGCCCAGGTCTGGGACGAAGTCAAGGACGAAGACGTTATTCTTCAAGACCGCCTTTCCGATGTAGAGGCCGCCCTTCCCGTGGTATAATTTGAACTCCTGGGTGGTACTGTCGGCTTCCAAGTGAATGCCTTTCGCCATCAACTGGCTGACGCTCAGTAAGTTGTAGCCGAGTCCCTCCGCGATTAGTACTTTTGACATTTGTAGTACGACGTTCGTCTCCCGTGACTGAAGTTGTACTATGCCTTGTCGTCTTGTTCGCAGGTTCTGATTGTTGGCGACGGTGATGACGACTTCTCGTTGAAGTCGGTGCTCGCGTTGAACGAAACGTCCTGAGGAGCACATATGTTGTCAGCAGCAACTCTCCAAGAACCAAGTGTCTTCTCCGGATGGCTCGCTTTGAGCGATGGCGGCGTATGTCGGGTTCGGCTGAAGTGACTCGCGGCGAGGCGTGCTGTTGTCAAGTTTTTCTTCTGGTGAGTAGTATGGTGGTGACTCGGTTGTGCAGGAATCTTTTATTTTCACCATACAGTTGACGATGTTTCTTGCTCCTTGTGCAGGTTGTCCTGTTGGAGTCGTTGAAGCTTGAATTGAAGTTGTCGGGTTTGCTTGCGTTGAAGTGACTTGGGAGCTTGAAGGCCGAAGTTGTCGCTGTGGTGTTGTTGATTGCTGACGATACGGGCAGTGCGTACGAGGATGCCCTGAAGTCTTGCAGATGTGGCAAAACGGAGGTACTGGCTTCACTTGTTGTTGTTGCCGGTTGTTGTTGTTGTTGTAGCATCGCTGAGTGTGAAATGCGAACTCTGGTACTGACGTTTTCTTCTTGTGTCGTTCTTCTTGCAGGTCCATGTCCTGCTGCTCGGCATGGATTTCGGCGCAGAGTGCTGCTTCGGAGATTCTCCCGTGTGCTCGTAGTATGGCGCGAGTGGAGCGCCTGTGAGGGCCAAGTCCGCCGATGACGACCGTGACGAAGGCGTCTTCTGAAATCGATCCTCCACATCGAAGAAGCTCGTCGCGCAGTTCGCGGCAGCGACTGATATATGCCATGCCCTTCTCGCCTGGTTTCATTTCGATTGTTGTCAGCTGCGCCATTAACCGGCTTTGGTTTACACTGTCTATTGCTTGATACAGGTTCTTCAAGTGGTTGTACGCGAGCTCCGCGGAGTTACCGTAACCTCGGTAAGTCCTTATGTTCTGCTGTTGAGTCGGAGTGATGTTCCTCAGTAGTATTGTGTATGCCATCATCGATTGATAGGTGTTACTGCTGCTTCTCATACTGCGTGCCGTTTGTTGGATATGGCAGGGACCCGTCGAAGAAGCCAAGGATCTGCGCTCCTTCCATCATCAGCTCGAATTCGAACGACCAGGTAAAGAAATCCTTCCCGTCGAAAGGTTTTGTCGTTTGTAGTTTTAGAACATGCGCGAATTGCGACTGAACTTGTAGTGCGTCCAGTGCTCTTTCTTGTCCCGGTGCAGGTTGTGGTTGCGGCATGAAGCTGACGGAGCCGCGCTGGGGCTCGTACGGAGCGAAGGTAGATTGTTGATGTTGATTCCCGCGTGCGTAGGATGAGCCATCGAGACTCATGGGCGTCACGTTGTTGTTGTTGTTGCTGTTGTTTGACTGCGCAGGTACTCCTTGCTGATGGTGCTCGTAGAAGGACATGAAGGAGAAGAATTTCTCCATCATGCTTGGATCGAAGCCCGCGCCTTGGTTTGCGGGTGTTTCAGTAGACCCAGCTGCTGGTCTCGTTGTTGTCCCTTCCTCTGTCTGTAGGCCAGAGGCAGGAGGTGGAGTAGGGGTAGTACCGGGAGAGCCGTTGGAGGAGCTCCTCTCCTTTCTAGCAGACATGTCTTCTTGATGTATTAAGTGTTGAATTGAAATTTTTAACTCTAACCAGCTCTCATACCATGTTGGGCTGAGACGCCCTAGGATCTTTGTAGAGTCTGAGTAAAATGATGTAATAGCGGAAGCGTTTGAATAAAGTCCTTGAACCACCTTGCGCTAGTATGTGATGGCAAAGTAAGTTGATTAAAGCAAAGAGATACAGGAATATATATATGAGTACAGAGAATATGAAGAGACATAATTGTAACTGTTTTACTGTTGCGGTTCGATACAGTGCGACTCGGGCAACTGCTCAATGTCGAGTCAGTTGTGTGTCCTTGCTGTCGCGCTGCGTTAGGTCAAAGGTCGCTGACCTTTGACTTTCTCGTAACCTCCAGCGGTTACGTTAACCTCCGAGGGTTGACTCGCGGTGCTTCGATTTGAGCTGCTTCGCTTGTGTCTTGAGTTTCGACACGACGGAGGCGCTTAAGACTATTTGTTCCCAACACGACTTTGGGTGGCAGTGGCTGTTCTTCCGCTCAGCACTGTGGAGTGCGAGCGAGGGTTCATGTCAAACAGGACTAGAGAACGTTAGGCTTAGGAGCCATAGTAAGTTGGGTAGGAGCGATTGAGCTCGAGTGAGTTTAGGAAAGTCGAGAAGTTTCAACAAAAGAGAGAGGTTTCACTATAGAGCGAGGAGTACAAATAGGCAAGAAGAAAGGTGCACCACCAAACAGAACATTATATAACTACAGTAGTCTACACTACAGGCAGTTACAAAACAGTATATAGAAATATATATTATTCTTGACACGCCCCCATAAGTGCCTGTAGGGAAGAAAATGCAGTCAACGCCCCCATAATGGGGTACACCAAGCAGAGTGCAGTTGAAGTAGCAGCAGTAGGCAGGAGCAGTGACAACCAGTGCAGAAAACAGAGAACAGAAGGGAGAGAGGAGAGAGAGAGGGGGAGGGTGAGGGGATGTAGGGGGTGACCAACCAGAGCCTACCACCTCCTCTCCTCTCTCGCCCCGTGGCGTGCGGCGGTTTTTTCTTCCCGCCGTGCGCCCCGAGGCGCGCGGCGGTTTTCTGCCCGCCGTGCGCCCCGAGGCGCGCGGCGGTTCTCTGCCCGCTATGCGCCCCGAGGCGCGCGGCGGGCTTCTGCCTCGTCGCTCGGCGCCTCGCCCTCGGGAGGCGCTGCGACGGGCGACGGGGACCCGCGCGCCGGCCCGTCGACGCCCGTGCGCCGCTGCTCCGGCCCGTCGCCGCCCGTGCGCCGCTGCCCCGGCCCGTCGTCGCCCGTGCGCCGCCCGTCCCGGCCCCGCGCAGCTGCTCCGGCCCGTCGCCGCCCGTGCGCCGCCAGCCCCGGCCCGTCGCCGCCCGTGCGCCGCTGTCCCGGCCCCACACCGCCCGTGCGCCGCCAGTCCCGGCCCCGGCCCCGCCTGCGGCCCCCCCCCCCCCCCCCCCCCCCCCCCCCCCCCCCCCCTTTTTCCCGTCGCCTGTCGAGGCGACCCTCGGGGGCCGCTTGCCTGGGGGAGGGGGGCGAGCGCCGCCCCCCCTTCTGCTGCCTGTCTTGGCGCCCTGGGCGGCCGCGCGTCGGTTCCCCCCCCCCCCCCCCCCCCCCCCTCCCCCTCCCCCGTAACCTCCCTACCCGCCATCCCGCCCTGCCTGAGTTAGGGTTTGGGGAGTGGCGAGTAGGGGGTGGCGAGTATGGGGGTGGCGGGTGTGTGGTCTCCCCTGCTCCTCCTCCTCCTCTGTCTCCCACTGCTGCAGCTGCCGCTGAGGGGGGTGGGTGTGTGGGAGTCGCTGGAGTCGTGCTAGGGGGTGGGGTGTGAGTGACCCTAGGGGTGCAGTAGGGGGTGTGTGCAAGGGGGGGTGAGACTGTTTGGGGAGCTGAATGAAGGATGCCGCTGTGTCGCTAGCAGCACCTGTAGTCCGGGGGCTTCGTCCGGTAGCTCGGTCGTAGCCAGCTGTGCCAGCCGCCCGTGGGTCCGTTGCTCGTCTGCCGCTACTTTAGCCGCGGGGCCAGTTACCCCTGTAGTCCGGGGGCTTCGTCCGGTAGCCGCTGTGCCAGTCTGCCTCCTGTTGCCCGTGTGTCTGCAGCTTCATCCGTCACCTCCTATCTCCTTTCCTCTCACTCTCGCCTCCTCCTCCTCACTTGCCCTCTGCGATAGCCTCTAGCTTTGCTCATAATTCTTAACTTTATACTATTGCTTCTTGAACTTGTGCTCAGAATGTGTGGTGACATTGTGATCCACCCTGAGCTTGTATTGCTTTGCTTGCTCTGCTGATTACACCCCACTTTGGCTATGGGGGTGTGTCAGAATGTTCTTATCTAGCCTGTAGTGGGGTGCTCTATAGCGAGTACAACCCTGTTAGGGTTTGCTATTTGTATCCCCATTCTTGCTAGTCAAACCCCTCTTTCTTTCTTCTAATTTTGTCAGTTCAGACGCCAAAATGTAATCAAGTTGTGGCTCAGGAACAACCTCTGCAATGCGCGACTCTCCGACCTCATGTGCATGTCCCTGCTTGACTACGAACCAGACTGGGACAACGTGGTGAAGCTGTGGCGCGGGGCAAAGAAGAGGCGCCCTGCCAAAGAAGTCAATGGAGTGGCAACTGCGAAGCGCAGGGAGGCAGAGACAGAAGCGGCAGGGAGGCAGGGAGACAGGGAGGATCTAGCACCTAACACGACAGCTCAGAAAGCGCCGTCCAATGACGACGGAGAAGCCAAGAGGAAGAAAGCCAAAACTCACATAGTAGATAGCGACAGTGAGGATGAAGGAGTGGATGTGCGTGCAACTGTTACACTGAGTGACAATGAGGCATCTGACTCTGACTCAGATAGCTGGATAGTTATTCTTGATATGTTTTCTTTGTAGAGAATAGCTGAGTAGTAGTTGTAGTTACAGTAGGGACGGGTTACAAAATCTGATTTTTAAGCCAAGTAATGTTAGAATTTCTGATGCGAAAGACAGGGGCGTGAAAAATTTCTGACCAGTCAGAGGGCCCTGTCCATGGGTGCAGGACGAGGAGCAGCATATAAAATCCCAAGAGGCCCCGCTTAAAGCCACTCTAGCACGGATTCCACGGGTACAGCAAAAACGGCAGGGTCCTCCTGAACTGCCCCCTGATCGCCCCTAGCGGCCGGGTCACAGAGCTCACCACCGCATAGTACCGCCTCGGATCCCCGGCCATCGCCCGAACAATAGAGTACACGGAACTAGTAGACCCAGGAGGGTACTTCTTATTAGCCTCATAGTACCACTTTTGCAGTGTGTATGCGTCGTTGCTGTTGTCTCGAGCCCACTGCCCTGACACCACCCACACCGGCAGCCCGTTGTTGCCTGAATAGGCCTTGTTTACGGTCTGGGCAATGGGGGAGGAAGACAGCGCGTGCGCTCGCAGGCGAATGTTCACGTTGGTCTGTCCGTTGTACCTGTTGATGGGGAGTTGGGCGAAGGAGAGGAGGGGACGAGAGGAGGTGTTAGGAAGACAAGAAGGGGATGAGATACTATAGGTAATGCCACCCACGCAGGCAGCCCGTTGCTGCCTGAGTAGGCCTTTGTTGACGGTTTGGGCGATGGGGGAGGAGGAGAGCGCGTGCGCTCGCAGGCGGATGTTCACGTTGGTCTGCCCGTTGTACCTTTTGGTGGGGGGGAGTGGGCGGGAAACAGAGAGGAGAAAGAATTTTGAGTTGATTCATACGCCGGAATGACAGGGGGACAGGGAGGGCGTGCGCTCGCACGCGAATGTTCACATTGGTCTGCCCGTTGTACCTTTTGAGAGAGGAGGGGTCGAGAATGAGAGAAGGAGGCGAGAGGAAGGGGTGGGGAGGAGAGAAGGGAATAGGAGGAGTGGTTGGGAGGACAGAAAAGGAGTAGAGGAAAGGGGATGAGAGGCAAAGTATATAAAGTCTTCACCACAGAAATTTCCAGCGCCAAATGAATTCACCCGTGCACTTAGTAAACAGCACCACGCCATCCGCACCAGGATCCTCCAATATACTATAAGCCAGCAATTTGCAAGAAATCAGATCCCCCGCGCCGCTCACCTGTACACTTGAATGAGTGCCAGGCCGTCCGCACCGGGATCTCCCCCAAGGATGGACCGCACATTGCCTGCGTTCAGATTTGCCACCAGCGCGCCTGCCACACACGAGCACCGCACAGCACCACACAGAGCCGCACAGCACAGCACAGCACGGCACGGCACAACAGAAGCATATTGAGACGTCTCAGAAGCCGTCCGCGTTGTGTCCCCCCGAAGATAGGCTGCACGTCCGCGTTCGAACGCCACCAGCGCACCTGCCCAAACATTAGGCGCCACATGCGCATGCGTTCGCTTTGCCGCGCTACAATAAATCAGAAGTAGTAGAGCGGAGAACGGAGGAGACGTTTTCTGGTGGAGACCGTGCATATCAGCAAGGAACTGCGACCGCGACCGCAAATACTAACAGCTGCCGTATACTTAAGAAAAAAAGCTACTGAAGTTTTTTCTATGGCGTGATGTATGCGGTTCGGAACCGCGGATTGAGTCTGGAATTTTCGAACTTACACTTGAGAAAGCCGGGGAACGGGAGGATGCCGAGCCTCCTAGATGTGCGAGTCTTGGTCGCAGCAAACGCCACTGACTCCAAGTTACTACCGTTGAACGTGGCGCTCTGAATTCTGAATCCATGATCGGCGGCGCAAGTGCTACGGACGACGATAGATGCGATGAGGATAACGGGAAGGAAGCCTGTACGGGATGGGACGAGTGGAGCAAATGTCAGGAAAGAAAGATGGGCTTCTGAAAACCAGGCTGAATGGGTGCTTGTTCTGGAAGAAGAAACCTCACCCGACGGGAACTGGAGTCGCTTGAAGGCCATAGTCGCAATCAAGCTATGTAACCAGGTCTACTTGGGAAAGTAGTGGGATCAAGATGAAGAAGCGATGTCGCGAAAGCTGTGTCAGCAGAATTTCGCCCTCGTGAACTCGATTTTGCTTGCAAGAAATTGATGGAACGCGTTTAGCGGCAATTGCGGGAGTGCCGAGGCTTCAGAACAAAGCAGGGGCCAATTTATGTTGGGGGGGTTGATGTTTGCTTGCAGGAAATTCTGGGATCGAGTCGAGAGAATAATGTGACGCGTCGCATTGAGCCAAGCCTTCGATTGCTGATGTGGATGAATGTTCCGAGGGTTCCGACAGCGGGAATGACGGCGCCTGGCTGCCGTGCACCGATTTGGCGGTCAACCGACCATTTCATGCTGACGAGATGGATGCTTATTGGACAGACCATATATGATGCCACGTTTGCTGTGTCCGAATGTTCTTGAGTCAGGTATGGAAACACTTCACTTCGAACTATTATAAACTAGCGAATACAGATGCTCATGAGAAATAAATTACGTTCTGTTGCTTCTTGATGCCAGCCTGACATAGAAATCAGTGCAGGTGAAACAACAATTGTTCGGAACCCTACACAATCCTACGCCCGTGAAGTTTTCCTACCCAAAGCTGGAAACGGCAGCTGGTATATTTCAGTAGATTAAGAGGAAGGATACTCATTATATACAGACTATGAAGCCACATATTTAACAGCGTGACCAAGGAATCAGACTAAACGGAACAGCTCGTCTAATCTGTCCCCGCAGTGCACCATTAGGGTACGCTGCAGTTTTCACCAGCACATAGAAAGACCTCCTAAACCACGCTCTATCAATCTTCTTCACCATAGAAAAAACCGATTTTGATGATCCTGCAGGCTTGGCCTTCCCTGCGCCCATATACCACACTGATAGGTCCCACTCGCCGGGATCTTCCACCGTCCAATCGCCGTCAATGGTCCAGATCGGCTCGCTGCTGCTGCCTATCTGGCCCACGTGGATGGACTGGCCTGTGGGCGCCACGAGAGAGGGGCTCTCATAGTGAATATGCACCTTCACGTTGGTTTTGCCGCGATAGCTGAGGGATGGATGGATGGAAACGGGATGAAGAAGCGCATGGGATAAACGCATGTGGAATGGAAACGCACGTGAGACGGAATTATGTGTTATTACGATATGGAGACGTCAATAAGCGGGGGCGTTCCACATAAAGGATCATCTTACAGGCCAATATTTCTGGTCAGTGATGACACTCAGAATTCCTCGCAGTCCCCACCCATCTCCCTTTCGCTTCTTTTATATTTCTCCTCTTCCTAGGAAACCACATGAGCGAATATGTTCCCCCCTCACTTGTAGACGAGGATGTCCAGCCGCGCATCCGCTGCGCGCTCCCCTCCGCCAGGCGCCAGGTCCGCCTCGAGATTCGCCGTCAGTGCGCCTGCACACATCGTTGCGGCAGCATGGGAGGAAAGTGTCGCGTGAAACACAGAGCACAAGGGCACAGATTTGAGCGCTCACACGGGCGCAGACATACGCGCGCACACGTGCGCAGACTCGTTTAGGGTCAAACGGAGAAGGTCGGACAAACGGAAACGAGGTGGCGTGGAGCAGACACGGGCGGAACGAAAGGGGCGTACGAGACGGCGACGCACATTTTAGGAGACCCGGATACGGCAAGACGTAGGGTAGTATCCGAGCGTGAGTTACGGCGGGCCCATCGGCGAAAAGTAGCAGGACGAGCGACGCGATAACGAGGAGAGTTCGCGTACCACCATGGACAACTGAAAGGCTGGTCGTCATGAAAATAGTGTCCGCAGAAGTTATCTCAGAATCTCAACGGAAACTTGGCGAATTGTAATTAATCAGCAAGAAAAAATCAGTTTCCAATCTTTCTGCCAAAAAGTGCGTCCATGTCGCAATTCTTAAGATGATTGCTAACGACGCGGGACTGGTTAGGATAGAGTAGTGAAAAGAGGCAAGCGCGCGAATTGAATCAAGAATGTGCGTCGCCCCAAAACTAGTTCGTGCTCTTTCAATTGCGAAGCGAGGCAGGCTGTATCTGGCCAGAAGCAGAAATGCAGGGCATCACTTGGGTTCCGCCAAACTTGGGTTCCGCCAAACCTAGCCAGGTTGTGCGATGGGCTTCTGTCAATACGACAATAGGGTTTCGAGGGCTACTTACCAGCTTCCTTGTGAGTTTCCAGCCCTTGTAGTGAGCAAAGAGGCATGAGCTTTCAGCGAATTCTAGAGGCAGCGAACTTATTCGAAATTAGGGGAACCCATTCACCTTCGGGAGGGAGGCACGCTGGCAGTACTGCAGCTGTGAGCGGGAATCGTTAATGTTTAGACAAGGAACTTAGTAAAGAGGCAAATATCTGGGCTAGGTCATTTGCACTCGATAAACCATCCCTAGGCATCCCCACCTTCGCATTTCTGGAAGCTTGGGGGTGAGCTCACCACGCAGCCGCTCTTCCAAAGAAAGTTTCACATCATCAACACACCGACCTACACCACCTTACGGCCATGCTGATATGACGTGGCTATGTTCGCGTAACAAGACACTTCGCTGGATGATTTTCCGGATTACGTGTGAAATGGGCTTATGACTAGGTTGACCAAACACGTCAGGAACAAATTTATCACACTACCCTAGCTTTAACACACCAGTATTGATCCCTCTGAACCACCAGCTGTGGCCTCTACACTAATGTGATTATCAGAGTTCCTTCTCTGATGAAAACATATGACATTGAAACACACAGCAGTGCAGCATCAACGCTCTAATGTGGAGAGTCCAAAATTGGACAGAAGAGATCTATTCCTTGTGCTTACATTCATAATCGCCAGCAAACTCCAAGGCTGCACTGTGGATGGTGTACCTATACACCCTACTAGCACCGTTCCCACTACGCACTCCTATCCACTTAGAAACACCACCCCAAATGTACCTACCAAACCTCGCCAGCCAACCATCTCCACCCACCAACCATCCTCCCCCTACCACCCCTCCCAAACTCTCCCTCTCGTCCCTATCACCCTTCCCCTCCCCCTCCCCCTTTCCCTCCCCCTTTCCCTCACCACCCCCCCACACTTCCAGCTCAATCTCCATAACAGCACTGAAGCTTTCCCGCCCAGTCGCATCCCAATCCCCATCAGCCCTCGGCATCCACACTGCCCCGCTAAAAGACGATGGCGGCGCATGCACCCGCACCCGCAGGGCGGCGGTCGGCGTCCGGGCGGCGAGGGAGAAGTGGCCGGAGCAGGAGTCGATGGTGGGGGGAGTGAAGGAGGTGAGAGGGTCGATGGATCGAAAGTCGAGGGAGTGGTGGGGGGTGCGGAGGCCGAGAGAGAGGACCAGTGGAGAGGGGAGGGAGGGGAGGGAGGCGAAGCGGAAAAACGCTCCCGCTCCCACCAGCTGTGGGGAAAAAGTTGGTAAAAATGGGGGGAGCAGTAAGGGGGGGGAAGGGAAGGGGTGAGAGCATGGGGAGAACAAGGTGAGTAAAGAGAAGAGGGCGGAGGGGATTGAGGTGAGGGGTGAATGAATCGGAAGTCGAGGGAGAGATGAGGGGTGCGGAGAGCAAGAGAGAGGAGGAGAAGCAAGGGGGAAAATTCCACCAGCTCCCACCAGCTGGATATGAAGCTGGTCGGGAAAGGAATGGGGGGTGGGAGGTGCGGTGAGCAAGACCCGTGGGGAGATGAGGTGTGCAAAGAAGAAAGGACGGAGGAAATGGTAAGAGTTGGGAAGGTGAGTAAGGGTTAGTGGCTTGAAATTTAAATTGGCAGGTGCAGGCAGGTACAGGTAGGTACAAGCAGGTACATACTCTGAATTTGGCTCACCACTGAAGAGTGTCTCCTTCTATACAGTCCACCAGTACGCTCCCACTCACCTTACCAGCACAGACTTACTTGCCTCAGAGAAACTTTTCAGTGGTGCGCTTTTATCTGTCTACCAGTACGGTTTCATCTCACCTGTACGCTGTTGTCAGATGACATGCCCTGCATCCACACGTGGCCAGCAGGGAAGTACTCCCCCCAGTTCTTCTCCTCATGCGCCCACCCCCTCCCCTCCACCGCCACCCCCTCACTCTCATTCCAGAAGCGGTACGAGGCGGTTGAACCAAGGCTGCAAGGGAAGTGGGGAGGAAGAGAAAGGCCTTTAGCACTAAGCAAAACCTCCTCATGCGCCCATATCTTACCACCCCCTCCCCTACACCTCCCGCCTCTTGCTCTCATTCCAGAAATTGTAAGAGGCGGTTGAACCAAGGCTGCAAGGGATGGGAGAACAAAGAGGAAGGCTGCTGGTATTGGAAAAGAACACCAGACGTCTCCACCGCCTCCTCTCCACATTCTCACTCTCTTTCCAGAAGCGGTAAGAGGCAGAGAAGCTACACGATACATTGGAGAAGAAGTGAAACAATGAGGAAGAGTCCGATAGTGAGGCGAACAGCACGCGGCAAGGATTCAATGCCACCCATACCGTGTACCGCTCACCTCACTCTCAAACTCCTCCTCATCGTCTCACTACTTCTCCAACGCGGCGTGTAGCTTCTCCTGCATGAGCGCACTTGTTCACAAACCAGCGGCACGGCAGCTCGCCCAATCACCCCGGAATCAGCTGTGACACTGATGCTGCCCAGCCCGGCCACCCCTCGGACCGCACCTAGGGACTGACAATAAGTACAGACTCATGAGTCGACTCAAAAGTCACCTAGGGACGGACAATAAGTACACACTCAACTCAAGCAAGCCCACCTGTTGACAAACCAGCGGCACGGCAGCTCGCCCATTCCTCCAGGAATCAGCTGTGACACTGATGCCGCCCACCCCTCTGGGCCTGCCCCGGGATCAGACGGGTTCCAGTGGCGCTGGTGGCAGGGAGAGGGGAGGAGAGGGAGAGACGGAAGAGAGAGAGAGAGAGAGAGAGAGGACAAGTGCGGGAAGAGAAGGAAGGGACAGGGGATGGGGCGGGTTCGGCTGCCCAACCCCCTGGGCCTGCCCCGGGATCAAAAGGCTTTCAGGTGCTGGCGGCAAGGGTTTTGAGAATTCTAAAAAACCAGCTCCAACCCTCTGGGCCCGCCCTGGAATCAAAAGGCTCCCAGGTGCTGGCGGCAAGGAGAGGGGAAGAGAGGAAGAGTGGAGGGAGGGAGAGAGATGAAATGAGCAAGTGAGGAAGAGGGAAGGGTGGAAGCACTGGGAAGCGAGGTCCCACTCTCCACTGCTGCAAGAGACGATTGTTGCATCGACTCAAACCAAGAAATGCGCTGGGAAAAGTTTGACGTAACAAGTGGACAGGGAAAAGATGCATTTCGGTGCAATGTGGCGGAGAGAGAACACGTAATCGCACACAGGGGGGTGCACATGCACACACACCTGGTTGGTCAGATTAGCCTGCAGCCTCGACCCCCCCACTCTGATATCCACTTCCGTGTGGTTGAACCCACGGGAGATCAGAAAGCCATGGCCCTCCACCCGCCACTCGAACACAGGCGGGGCTGAGTCCGATGGGTCGGAGGAGACGGGCTTGGGAGGGTGCGTGCCCACTGTTATGCTGGGCCGCTAGGGGAAAAGGGAAGAGGGATGGGGGTTGGAGGGGGGGTTGTCGATTGAATGAGCAGAAGGAGAGGGGCCTGGGGGGGTGTGCGCTTATCTGTGGACGTGTTGTTTGAGTCCAAGGGAGGAGGGCGAGAATCAATAGCTCTTGAATAGACGTGATTCGACTCGACTCAAACAACACGAAACAATGTTTGTTTCTCAAGAATCCACAAAGCGATACAACGTTGCCTCAACTCTCGACCCATTTCCATCCACGCACCGCTGTCTCTACCGCTATCTCTATCTCAATCTCCTCAACTAGTGCCACCACCTCACATGCTCCCATCCCACATGCTCCCATCCCACATGCTCCTCCTGCTAACTCCCCCACCACTCTTTCTGAACCATCGGAACAAACACTCACTGCTCCTGTAGCCTCCATCCAATGCCGTTCACTCACTGCTATTTCCACCTTCTCAATCAGAGTCACTTCACACGTTCCCATCCCAGATCCCCACCTGTTATCCCACCCAGTGCCGCTTCGGGACCATCGAATTAACACCATGTTCTCTCAATCCACTCACCGCTATTTCCATCTTCTCAATCAGAGTCCCTTCACATGCTGCCGTCTCGAATGCTCCACCTGTTGATCCTCCACCCGCTGCTGTTGCAAATCCTGCTGCGGCTTCAAATGTCCCTGTCTCTGTGCCACCAGCTGCATCATGCCCCATCACGTACTCGATAGGCCCTTCCCCAGATGATCCTACCCCGCATGCTACCGCCTCTGATGCCCCTTCCCCAACTGCCCCTCCACTCCGTCCCCCCTCTGACTCTCCCGTCCCCTGCTCCTGCTCCTGCTCCTGCTCCTGCTCCTGCTCCTGCTCCTGCTCCTGCTCCTGTTCCTGCTTCCCCCAACCCTCCTCTCTCAACACTCTCCGCCCTTCCCCCACCTGACAGCTTTCCCGCCCTCCCTTCCTCTTGGGGTGGCAGCTGAGCAGCATCGCTATAGAGCGATTCGCTATAGGCATGGAGCCAATTATTGCAGCATAGCTGCCTCCTGTAGAGGGATCCACTACACGCACGTACCAGCCCTGCACAGGGAAATTAACATGAAACAAACCAAAACAATATTTCATGTTTAAGACAGGGACGGATCGGTAGGAAAGGAATTGGTACCATAAACGGCATACCTCGAACCAGGAGCACGGACGGCCACGTGTCTGCCAGATCGGCGAGCATCGCGCCACGTGTGGGCTGTGCGGGCTGCTGCTGACGTGGATCGGCGCGACGATGACGAGGGCGACGGCTAGCAGCAGCGCAGGGTTTGACAGGACGGGCACGCGGAAAGAGGGCGCGCGGAAAGAGGGCGCGCGGAACGAGAGCGTTCGGAGCGAGGGCGCGCGGAAAGCAAATCGCGCCATCGACGCTTCACGCAGAGCCGTTCCGCGTGATCGTGCAAGTTATTTAAGAGGCGACGGACGGCCAGACAAAATCGCACCGGCGAGTATCGGATGTAAGGTAGCAAATCTGACTGAACCTTCCAGTAAGAAAACGCTACTTGCAGTGAATTCACACGATCCGAGGCGACGCGCTTGGAGAGATCGGCCGTTATGCACCGTAGTACGTGGAGAATGTACCTCACTCTCCTTTGCAACAAGGTGAATTATTCATTCCCTACGTCGAAATCCCCGCCGGGTACGAGGTGGGAGATGTCGACTGCGACTGACGTAAGCAAGTAACGATGTGGTGCCTAGGCGCATGGCAGCAAGGCGATTCGGCAAACAGCAGCAAACAGGCACTGGTGATGCAGATTGAATTGTCGGCATGTCAGGTTGAATCGCTCGCAACATCAGTTTGGTTTTGGCTCGAATCGAAACTACACTGAATCGTTCTAGACTGATGAACAAACGCTGGGAATCTCTAAGCATCTCACGTCACCACTCCCCTCGAACTCGAAAAGCAAAAACCAATCGAAGTGATTTTTTTTTTTTGGAAATACCTTGCTAGCAGTTTCATTTCAAACACTTTCTGGCCTAATTGTACAGTAACAAAATCAGGACTCTCCCTACCGGGTACGTCAACTTGGTGGAGGACAGTGCAGCACGTGGTTCTCTAGGTCGCGACTCCTGCTCAACGTCGTTGCGCCACGTCATCGCCAGCAGGACTTCAGAGAAATTTACCATTTCCCAGCACATTCATTTCAAGAATGGCCTCTAAAAGGCAGTACGAATGTCGCTCACCCCTCATTCCTAGGTACGGCTCCAGTAAGCTGAGTACGCTTGGGCTGCTTACTAGGCAACAGACGGTCAGGCGGGTTAGTCGAACCACGATCAGAGTTAGGCCTACGCGCCGAGACTGACCCGCATCGCGGCCGCTATGGACACGTCGCTCCTCCTCCCCCGTCCATCACGTCCGTTCACTCCCTCGCATCCAACGGTCATGAATGCGTCCCGATTTGTGTCGCAGCCGGCGACGTCAGCCTCCCCGTCTCCCCTTTGCGTTGCGCAATTTCCGTGGAGTTCCGCCAGTGCGCGCACATGTGTTCGCGCGGCGGTAGCGTTGTCAGGGAGAATTCCGCCGCGAGAACCGGCGGATTCAGCGCGCACCGGGGGGAGTGGGGGGCGCGGAAGTGTAGCGGCGGCGTCGCTGAAGCGCCCGCCAGTGGGGCTGGGGGCGGAAGGCGCACTGGCGGAGGAGGTTGCGGCGGAGGCGGTGGAGGATTTGCTGGGGGAAGGGGAGTCGGAAGGGGAAGAGGGAGCGAGCGCGGCGGTTGCTGACGCGGCAGGGTCTGAATCCGACGTGGACCGACCCGTGGTGGAAACGCGGTGAGTGAGGGATGAACGGGTTGAATCCGGGATGAGAAAGCAAGTGAGGGAGTGAGCGACTGAGGAAGTGAGTGAGGTGGTTAGGAAATCGATGGAGTGGTGAGGGTCCTTTTGAGGCGCCTCGAGTGGTGAGGGTGTTCACGTCATCAAGCTCTTCACCCTTCCTCCCCTCCTCCCCTTCCAAATCACCCCCAGCACATGGCTGTGGGCGCCTTCCCTCCCCCTTCCTCTCCCTTTGCCCCCTACCCCTCCTCCTCTCTTCCCCCTTCACCACCTGGCCATTTTATCCGATGCCAGGCATCAAGCTCCCGGGGCCCGCCTATTCTCGTTCCCCTCTCCCTCCCTCATCCGCGGATTCGGCGCCAGCAGCGACCACTGGCGGCACACGCTGCGAGCGCTGGGCGCATACTCTCTTTCCCATTCCCATTCCCATTCCCTTCCCTTCCTCCTTGTTCTTTGCCCAAACCCTCAGCACGTGGCAGTGGCGCGGCCACACAATAAGGTACCAGCAGTCCGGTTCCCAGGGCCCTCCAGTCCTCCTCATCCACGGATTCGGCGCCAGCAGCGACCACTGGCGGCACACGCTTAAAGCCCTGGGCGCATCGGGGCACCGCGTGTTTGCGATTGATTTGCTCGGGTATGGCTACTCGGATAAACCCACTCCTAGCTACCGGATTAAGAATGGACAAGGGAGGCAGGAGGAGCAGCAGAAAGAGCAGGGGGGTGGTGTCGCTGCTGCTGCTGCTGCTGGTGTGAGTGGTGGCGAGTCAGAGTACACGTTTGAGAACTGGGGGCAGCAGGCCGTTGACTTCATTGACCAGGTGGTGGGCGAGGAGGCGTTTATTGTCACCAACTCCGTGGGAGGTGAGTCAGTGAATGGATGGGAAAGTTGGCTTTATTGACTCACTTGAGTTGACTTCATTGACCAGGTGGTGGGCAGGGAGGCTTTCATTGTGACCAACTCCGTGGGAGGTGAGTGAGTGAGTGAGTGCGTGAGTGAGTGGGGGAATGAGGGTATGAACGAGTGGTTGGGAGGTGAGTGGACGGGTTGATGTGTGAGTGAGTGAGTGAGTAGTGTGTGGGTGGACATGCAACCATCCTAGCACATTCTCCACTTCTCTTCCCTTGGCACTCCCCACTCCCTCTCTCCTTCCTCCCCATCCCCACGAGTGGTGGCACTGCAACCAGCACCCAGCCACCCCTAAAAAATCCGCGCTCTCCGCCTTCTCAACATCTCTCTCAACAACCTCCACATTTCAACACAGCCCTTCCTCGCCCTCCTCCAATCCACCCTCCGTTCCCTTGGGAGTTTCACCCGTGGCCTCTCCAATCCCCTTTCTCTTTCCCACTCGTTTTCCCTTCTCCCTTCTCCTTTCCCCTCCTGCCACATTCCCACTTCCCCCCATTTCATCCCCAGGAGTGGTGGCACTGCAAGCAGCAGCAACCCATCCCTCCAGCATCCGCGCTCTCCTCCCTCTCAACATCTCCCTCCGGAGCCTCCACACCCGCAACCAGCCCTTCATCTCTAGTTGGTTGCATCAATTCCCTCTCTTTCTCCCCTCTCCCTCCCCCTCCCTTCCCATCCCCAGGGGTGGTGGCACTGCAAGCAGCAGCCACGCACCCATCCAAAACCCTCGGTCTTCTCCTGCTCAACATCTCCCTCCGAAACCTCCACATTCGAAAGCAGCCCTTCTTTGCCCGCCCCTTCGTTTCCCTCCTCCAATCCACCCTTCGATCCACCTCCCTCGGAGAGCAATTCTTCGCCTCGGTCGCCACGCCTCGCGCCGTGCGTAACGTGTTACGGCAGTGTTACGGCGACCCTGCTACAGTGACGGACGAGCTCGTGGATTTGATTCTCAAGCCCGGGTTGCAGCCAGGGGCGGTGGATGTGTTCCTGGATTTTATCTGCTACTCGGGCGGCCCGCTGCCAGAGGACTTGCTACCCAAAGTGCAGGTGGGTGGGGGGAAAGTGAGGTTCGATTTACAGGTGTGAGGCGCGCCTGAGCTGCCCTCAGAGGTGGCAGTTTTGTTTCTGGGTTTGGTCTGCTACTCGGGTGGCCAGCTGCCAGAGGATCTGCTACCCAAAGTGCAGGTGGGTGAGCTTGGGGTTCGGCTGTGTGCGGATCTCGAGCCTTGAGCTGTGAAATAATATCCGTACCTGTTCCCTCTGTCTGCTACTCGGACGGGGGGCCCTGCCAGAAGATCAGCTGCCTAAATTCAGGTGGGCTTGGGGGAGGCGGGCTTTAAGGAGTTCCCAGGGGTGTGGGCAAAGGCGTGTGAAATTTATCAAGTGGTGTGAGACATCTCAAAACACTTTAATTTCACGGAGAGAGGGGACTTCCCTTGTGTAATGGGCTTTGAAGAGTTCCCAGGGGTGTGGGCCAAAGCAACCACTTGGATCAGTGGGGCACGCGTGGACAAGGGAATGGGGTACACTGTACGCTGTAAGGCCTCGCTCTTACAATGCTCTATCCCCACGCTCCCGTTTCCCCTCTGTCCCTCCTACTCCCTCCCTTCCCCCATTCCAGTGCCCAGTGCTGTTCGGGTGGGGCCAGGCAGACCCCTGGGAGCCAGTGGAGCAAGGCAGAAAGCTTCGAGGCTCTCCTCTCTCATCTCACAATACTCCACCCCCTCCTTCCCTCTCTCCCCCTTCTCCAGTGCCCTGTGCTGTTCGGTTGGGGCCAGGCAGACCCCTGGGAGCCAGTGGAGCAAGGCAGGACACTCAAGGATTTCCCCTGTGTGGTTGGTTTTGAGGAGTTCCCAGGGGTGGGTCATTGCCCTCAGGACGAAGCTCCGCACCTAGTCAACCCCCTTATAGAGCGGTTTATTTCCCAGCAAATCTAGCTAGGTAAAGACAAAGATAAGACTATCCTTCAAACCAGTGACCGCTATTTTTGCATATGCTTACGCTGCAATTGCAATGCCTATCAATAGATCAACTATTCCGTTAGTACATTTTCACGGGTACAGAACATATACATAGAAATTGACTAAACTAACAAGGTGCGACACTCTCAAATCAACAGATATAGCACAAGCTGAAATGAGTTGCGCAGAATGTACCATACGTCTTGGACTTGGTAACTACCAACGTAGACATTACTAAGCCCGCTTATTTTGAGAGATCGGTGCTAGCATCGTGGCCTAGAGATTAGCTGGGCTGGAAAGCCCCGGAAAAACTGCCCACGAATCGCCCCCTCTGGGTACATGTCGGTAGCGATTGTCGCGTAGTACTTGCCTGGATTCCGGTCAATCATCTTCACCATCTTGTAAACGGATATGCCTGTACCGGGAATGATGACACTAGGCGCGCGCTTGAACACGCGCTTCAATTCCAACTGATCCTCGTTTCGTTGCGTCCACGTGCCCGCAATGTTCCACACCACGGCACCGTTCACGCCACGTCTCCCGAGGTTAATGGATTGGTTGAGAGGCGGCATAGGGAGCGAGAGCTCGTGCGTGTTGTAACTGATATGGACGTCCAACCCGCCTTGATACCTGCGGAAGGCCACGAACGAAAGCCGCAGGAGAGCCCGCGAGTACGGGGAGGAAAACCGGGAATGTGTTGGAAGAGTGGCACGGAGGGCGACTTTGAGAATTCCAAAAAAAAAACCTGGAAATGGTCGAGGAGCTAGCACTGGGAGAGGAACGGGGAAGACAGATTCGGTAGGATGAAGTTCGTACGAGGCGCGGTGCAGACGTCAGTTTTGGTATTTAGAGTACCAAAAGAAGGCGTGGTAGAAAAGATCGCCAGTTGTTTCGGAGAAAACCAAAGAAGTCGCGGTATCTAGTTGCATATGTATTGAGAAGACCAAAACTTTTGAAACATCTCAAAACTTGTTCGAGTTCTGGATGTGACTGTATAATGTGATTCTAAATGCCTTCTTACTTGTAGACGTAGATGTTGAGATCGCCATGACCGCCGAGATCCCCGCCGAGCGACGAGCTGATAACGCCATTGTCCTTCAGGTCCACCCGCAAGCTACCTGCGTGTGACAATAGCCCAGTGTGACAACAAACAAGCGTGCCACAATTAGAGTCAGCAGTGGTGCGGGGGGAAGAATGAAAGCGGAAAGCAGAATGCATGGGACGGATTGCGGAAGGGGGTGCACGAAATGCATATATGCCGAAATGCGGAAGCCGGAGAGTTACGTGGCAGAGACTTCCTACTCTAAGAGCATAATACTTGGGCTCGGTTCGATCTAAAAGGACTCTGAAAGTCGGATGCGTAAGATTGAGGGGTCGGAGAAGCAATCGCAGAGGAAAGAGCATGCATAATGAAAAAAAAAAAAAAAAAAAAAAAAAAATTCAATCCGAAGCATGGGGAGACGACCAAAAGCCTTTTCGGATTTTAGCATGCCCCAGGGGAGAATGGGCCGGACATACATCTTAAAAGTCCAGGCGGAGGGGCGACTCGTTCGACGGGTCCGACCCCGTTAAATGCGGAGGCTGCCGCAACGAAGAGAGATAGTAGAAGCAGCAAGCCTGCAGATCAGAGCACAGTAGCGAAGAAAGGAATGAAATCGAGGAGCGCAATAACCCCAGACGATAAAAGCGGTGCAATTACATAAACTTTTGGAATCTGCCATGCGGTTGCAATGGCTTATCAGAGGGCAGTATAAAACCGGTCCCTACTGGCTCGTATATGAGCGCAGAGCAACGGAGCAGTATATAGTGAGTAGAAGAGCGTTGCACAAGAGCGCGCTGCTATTGGCCTCTCTGCCGTACCTGAAAGGTTGCGACTGAGGTGAAACGCCATTATCTGCGAGGTACCGGCAGCTTATGTGTGTGGTCGAAACAGGTCTAGGATGCGTAATGCAGGTTTGGCAGCCTTGGGTAATGCTGTGAGCCTAGTAATTCAAGGATCAGACTGCCGGTAGTTAGTATATAGTGCAGCTTGTTGATTATTGAAAGAGCAAGAGAGTAGATTATGGGCACGTCCGCTTGGGCACTTGAGTGTTTTGTAAACCAAGGATGATTGCTGATGTCGGTTCTCTGGAGATATGGAGGTGGGAGGAGGAAGGCGCAATTTGGCCCAATCCGACTGCCATGCCTTCCCCATTCTTCACCCAAGCACATTCGAAGCGAATTCGCGCCAGTTCGTTCCGACGCGACGCGACACGATTGTTGCACCCCAATGTGCGAGACTCCCAGCTCAGAAAAAAGTCACGCACGTCGCTGTGTTCTGCGACCACCAGAGTTAGCTGCGAGCAGTGTTTGTCGGCACGCATGTTGAAACCCGCTGGCGAAAGTCAGTCGACATTCGCATTTACTGTACTGTGCGAATAACCCTGTCGGCGGTGTTCGTCACTGTACACATACTACAGTAAAAGCGTCAGTGCTTCGCTGAAAAGCAATCACAGAAGTGGGTGACGTGTCACTCGACTGACCAGCGCTTATCAGCGCTAGTGCATACAGCTCTTGTTGCAAAGCACGCAAAAATGCTAAAATGCTATGAGTATTCAGCTAATCAGCACCTGATACAATGATAGTCAACATTAAGGTAGAAACAATGATAGTCAACATTGGTTAACGAGCATTATTACAAATGTGGGATAAATAAACCCCGCACTTAGGAAAATCCACCTCTCCAGACTAGGAGCCTCTCTAACAAACTCGGCGGTTCACCAGCAGCTTCGGAAAATGACGTGAAAACTGCCCTCGAATAGCTCCCTCCGGAAAGGCGTCAGTGGTCACAGTTGCATAGTACATCTTAGGCATTCGGTCTATCATCTTCACCATCTTATATACGCTTTTGTACGCGCCAAGAGGTCGCTTTCCTTTTGCTTGCGTAAACCATGAGTCGAGTTGCATCTGGGTGTCGCTCTGCGGCACCCACGTCCCCGTGACGTTCCACAGCCATCCGCCGTTGAGTCCCTTGGGCCCGAAATTGATGGTCTGATTTAGAGGCTTCGCGTTGGCGTCAAGGCCGTAGGAGAAGAGGATCACTCGCACGTTGATATGGTTCCTGAAGCTGCATTGTGGGAGAAGACAAAAGCAAACCAGGGCAAACCACGGTGGCATTAAATCGGTCGAAGACCTCAACTTGCTGGTTAGCGGGTTTTGACGCGAAGTGGAAAGATGGTTCCAGGTACTGGAAAGAAGCACTACAGTTTAGTACACAGTAGTGCTTGGTATCCGTAGCTGTACCCGCGTGGGATAATAACAACTCGATTCCAAATGTGACTTCAAACACACTGGGAGTTGGGACCCGTACCTGTACACGTAGATATCGAGCGTGCCTTGCGAGTTAGCCGCTCCCTTAGTTCCAACGACGCCGTTTGCTGCCAGATTCGCACGCAGTATACCTGCATATGGGATAGAATAAATAGCGAGGCAGGTAGAGAAGTCGTTTCCTATCAATAAGGATTTTTAAAATTTGCCTAGCGTGCTAAGAAGAATTCAGAAACGTCCTGCAAGAGAACATATCTATACCACATGACTGCCAGAGAAAATAATGTAGGAGTCGTTCCCCGCCGGAACGGATGTTGATGGTGCTTGTCTAAGCGGTGTATGTGCCGCTGAAAACAGTGCGTTCCTGCCATGATAAGGTCTTGCTTCAGAGGACAACAATGATTAAGGAAGCCTCACATCTCAATGTTCCAGGGAACGTGTTGCCTCTTGCGAACGGGCCCATCGCGCGAGCTGTGCTGGCGACGCCCATCGCCAACAGGCAAACAAGCACAATCTCTGCGGAGAAACGCAACGGAGCAGGAGGGAGAAGAAATGTGCTGTCGAAAAGCCGGGAGATGCAAAACAACGAGGAGCTTCATCTGTTGTCCAACAACTGCTTACCTAAGCTTGACAGAGCATTCCGGGCCATTGGCTTCATCCGAGGGGTTTGTATCACGCCGATTCAATTTCAACTATCGCTGGGATCGGCTCTAAGATATCAGAGTTGCTTGACGTGAGGGTATTGGAAATCAATCCACAATGCTTGCACCTCTTTCGGGTGCAACAGACTTTCGATAAATCGCGCCTGCTGTGACTTACAGAAGTCACTTTCAACCTTGTGCCTTAGGGATTTGGATTCTGTTGAATTGGGTTTCTTTCAAGAATTTGGGAATCGAGCCGCGCGGTGGCCCTGCTCGGGATGCTTCTTTCCCAGGGCGGGAAGCGAAGCCCTCGAATTCGCGATGATGCTCGCTTTTCGCACTTGTCGCATGAATGTGCTGAGTGCTGGAAGTACATCACTACGGGCTGACGGCTGTCAGCGATTGTTCGTTATGGAATACTGCTTTACAATGTGTGGGCCTGATAGTACAGCTGTAAGGACTACCGTACATTTGACGACGACTGCCGTTGCACAGTGCTCGCCGTCGGAACTGGAGGCGAAGCATCACCGCCACTCCGGGCGGTGCGCGGAAAATCCGAGACCGAGTATCGAGCCGCAAATGTCTAGTACGTGCACGAAAATACCAAACCGCGATTTCAATCTCAACTCCACGCATTGGATTTTTTCCATCCCTCCTCACAACACCCCTCGCTTCCATTCCCTCCCTACCCTCCTTCCACCAGAAGATGCGTCTCCCATGTATAACCTAACGCGCTTCCGCGTGAGGGTGGGGACGAAGGAGAGGAGAAACCAGTGGGGCGCCGCGAACATCTGTTGGCATGTCTCTGCCTCCTCGAGCGTGCTGCTCATAAATACATCCAACGTCAATTCTTAAATTTCAGCGGCACAAACTTGGTCATAAAGCGATCGACTCCAGAGACACTTTTTGCCTCCATCATAATTTCCGTCTGACACCCGAACTAAGTAGCTCGTGCAACTATCGTCCATCATGGCGTGGGCAAGACAAGCGGCGTCCAGAAGCTTCCTACTGTTTTTTCTCGTCGTCGCC